GGGTTACCCATGTGGCTGAGCCTCTGCGTCAGGCTTTCCAGTCACTGTCCCACAGCAGATGTGAGGGAGCCCAGTCTCAGCTCTGCCCCCTCCTGCCTCCCAACACTGCCCACTTACACTCCGTGCATTTCCCCCAGCTCTGTCTGGGCACAGACGTCCTGCCAACCACAGTGTCACTGTCACACTCAGGAAAACCTGCACTTGAGATGCCAACAGGACTGTCATGGTCAAGGCAGTCACTCTCCACTCTCACCCTCCACCCCCAGGCTAAGGACAAGCTGCCCTTTGCAGCCCGGGTAAAGGACACTAGGACAGGGAGGCAGGACTTTCTGCCCATGTCAGCTCTCCTGTCAGCCTAGGGCACAGGCTCTCCTGTGTGGGGGACCTGTGGTCAGCGTTCAGGAGCAGGGTTCGGGGGACGTGGTCACCACTGCATGGCCCCGGTACCACACCAGCATCTGCTCTCGGTGGGTGTCTGACACACAGAGACCCCCACAGCATGGTCAGGCTCCGTACTGCACACTTAGTCCCTTCAACCACCTTGCGAGCTGCATCCTGCTCTGACTCCCGTTCTGTAGAGCACAAAACAGAAGCGTAGAGGGGGCAAGCAGCCTGCCCCAGGTCACATATCTGCGACATGGTGGAGCACAAATCCAGACTTGGGCCCCTCCCCGACAAGGCACACCTGAGCCTTCTACCTGCTCAGCTCTGCTCTCAAGGAACAAACACCTGTACTTGCTGGGCCTGGTGCCCAGTGGGCATGTGAAGCAGATGGCAGCAGAGAGCTCAGCCCGAGCCGCTGGCACAAGAAGGAGCCCAGGGCACCGCGACTCTCCCCAGGGTGCCACAGGAAGGGACCCTGAGGAGAGCTGACTCCCGCAGGGGGCAGGGACCCAGCTCCGGCTCCTCGCTCCCCTCTGGGCCTCGGGGCTCCCTTCTGTAAGACGAAGCCAAAACCAGAATCCACTGCCACTGGCTCCAATGTGGCAGGCACACTGCAGAGTTCGCATGCCAGCCGGCCACACTGAAGAGGGACGGCCTGGCTCCCAGCACCCAGCCTCCAGCGCGCTGGCTTCTGGGGCCTCAGGTGCCTGCTGCAGGTGCATGAGCAGAAGGGGCCCCATTGCGTTCCTGGTCACATTGCTGATGGGTAGGTCTGAAGGCCTTTGTCTGGAAAGATCTTTGTGTCTCCTTGGCTTCTGGAAGCCGGTTTTGTGGGTACCTTATTCTTGGGGGTGGATTTTTGTTCCCTCTGTCCCATTGCTTCCCGGCCTGCCGGGCTCTGCCGAGCAGTGCACCGTGGATTATTCTGGAAGCTCTTGTAGTTGCTTGCTGCTTTTCTCCTGCTGCTTTAAGGATCCTCCTTGGCGATGCCCTGGGAGAGTTTGTTTCCAGCACATTCTGGGGTAGATTTTTTGGGCTTGACCTTCAACTCCTGGATTTTCACATCTCTTTCCAGCTATGGCAGTGTTCTGCGATTGCCTCTTTGAATGAGCCTTGTACTCATTTGTCTTCTTCTGCCCCCTCTGAATTCTCATTTACTCCTGTATGTCCTCTTTTGATAATTTTTAGCTCCATGAACTCTTTGATTTTTTACAAAATTGTTTTAAACTTTCTAGATTTCTCTTATGAATTTATTTTTCTAAGAGAGAAAGGGGAGGGAGGGAGTATAGGATGGATGGGAAGGGTAGAATGGAGAAAGAGAATATCATAGTGAGAATTCAACAAAAATTATTTTATAAACATTTATTTATTTGAAAGGTATAGTCGCCGGCGCCAAGGCTCACTTATCTTATCCTCCGCCTGTGGTGCCAGCACTTGGTTCTAGTCCTGGTTGGGGTGCCCAATTCTGTCCCAGTTGCTCCTCTTCCAGTCCAGCTCTCTGCTGTGGCCCGGGAAGGCAGTGCAGTTTGGCCCAAGTATTTGGGCCCTGCACCCGCATGGGAGACCAGAAGGAAGCACCTAGCTCCTGGCTTCAGATCAGCACAGCACGCCAGCCATAGTAGCCATTTGGGGGTGAACCAATAGAAAAAAAGGAAGACCTCTCTCTCTCTCTCACTCGCTCTCTCTCTCTCTAACTCTGGCTTTCCAAAAAAAAAAAAAAAAAGAAAGAAAGAAAGGTATAGTGGGCAGAGAGAGAGATTGTCCATGTGCCAGTTCACTCCCCAAATGGCTGTAACAGTTCTGATCAGGCCAGGCTGTTGCCAGGAGCTGGGAGCTCTGACCTGGTCTTCCACAAGGTTGGCAGAGGGTGTGTTTCCCTGCTTAGTCAGGGGCAGCAGCAAGATGCAGGATCAGAAGTGGAACTTCCAAGACTCCAACCAGCACTCTGAGGAAGGATACTGGCACTGCAAGTGGTGACTTAGGCCATTGTGCCACCATGTCTGCCTGATTTCTCTTAAATTTCTATTTTGTTCCTCTTGGTTTTGGAAGTTCATTGTGCTCCTGTGAGACAACTATTTAATTAGCATTTTATCAAAGAAATATTTCCATCTCACTGGGGCCAGTCATCTGTACATTATTTTGTCCTTTTGATTTGATCACAATCTCCTGGATGGTCTTCATGCTCAGACACGTGTAAGTGTATGTGAATTACAAAATAAGCCACTTACTCCATGCTGACTGATGTGATGGCTTGGGGTGGAGGCAGCTGCTCTGGGCAGCCACACGTGGTGGGTCAGGATGTGCATTATTAGCTCACCCGGTATAGACTGAAAGTATGGGAACTGCACAAGAAGATGAAAGTAAATCTGCTGCACGGTGACCCAGTCATCCCACTTGGGGGTTTACACCCTGAGGAGGTGAAATGTCTGTGTCAAAGGCAAACAAATGGCACCGTGTTATTGTATCGCTATTCACAAAAGCCAGACACCAATGTAGGGAACCACTCCAAGCCTCTAACCACGGATGAATGGATGTTTTTAATGTGGCCAATGTGCGCTGCAGGATATTTTTCAATGATGAGAAAGAATGAAATCCTGCCACTTGAAGCACCACGTATGAGACGGGAAGATGTTCAGTGAAACAAGATACAGACATAAAAAGATGCCACACGTTCTCTCCCGTATGTGAAAGATGAAAATGCGGATCTGAGATTACAACAGAACAACATGGTGATTACTGGGGCCAAGGGGGTGGGGGTGGGGTGCCAGGTCCCAAAACCCCAGCAGAGGGGGTCCCAGGATTAGTGAGAGCTAAATCAGTATACAAATTATTTTGATTTGCATATTCCAGCTAAAATTATTTTAATAAATTAAAGACACCAGTTAAACAACATGAATATATGATTAGCCTCAAAATTATATGATAAAATATATAAAATTTCTAATTGGAAATGATGGTGTAAATTAACCTACCTGTGACTGAAACCTTCTAAAATAAAAATGTGAGGGCCAGCATTGTGGCACAGCAGGGTATGGTGCTGCCAGCATCCCATGTAAGTGCTGGATGGATTCTAGGCTGCTCCACCTCTGACCTGCTCACTGCTAATGCACCTGAGAAACATTAGAGGATACTGAAAGTGCTTGGGTCTTACGACCCACACGGGAGACCTGAATAGAGTCCCAGGGTCCTGACTTTGCCCTGGACTAGCCCTGGCCATGGTGGCCATATGGGGGAGGAACCAATGGGTGGAAGATCTCTCTCTGTGTGTCTCTCCTTAACTCTGTCATATAAAATAAATCTTTTAAAATAAAAATATGTACCCATTAATTTGAAATAAATGGTTATTTGAAAATGGAATGTTGCTGAGAAAATAACAATAGAGCATAAAAGGAACTCATAAAATAAAATTTGAGGCACATTACTTCCAATGTAAATAGATAATATCCATTTAGGTATTGAGAGAAAAGAGGAGAGCTTAGCAGAAAAGGAAACATTCAGTAGACTTGGGAATGAGAGATCTGGAGAGTTTCACAGATGCTCAGAATAAAAGAAACAGTTGAATAACAAGCAATCAATATGATTTTTTTAAACATCTATCAAAACATAGTGAATTCTTCTTTCATGTTTCTAAAAAGCTTACAGAGACAGAATCAATTGAATATTGCTAAAACTATTCCAGAAACTTAAAACACAGGAAACAATCAATGAAACGTGATGAAGGACTAAACAAAGTTTGTCAATGATAATAATAGAAATACAATGTGTAAGACATCTCTCCCTGATCCTAGTTGCAAAAATCCGAAGTGTTTCAATAATAAATCTTTGCCAGCTGGCACTGCGGCTCACTAGGCTAATCCTCCGCCTTGCAGCGCCGGCACACCAGGTTATAGTCCCGGTCGGGGCGCCAGATTCTGTCCCGGTTGCCCCTCTTCCAGGCCAGCTCTCTGCTGTGGCCCAGGAGTGCAGTGGAGGCCAAGAGAAGCACCTGGCTCCTGCCTTCGGATCAGTGCAGTGCGCCAGGGGCAGCACACTGGCCATGGCAGCCATTGGAGGGTGAACCAACGGCAAAGGAAGACCTTTCTCTCTGTCTCTCTCTCTCACTGTCCAAATCTTTGCTTTGAATTCTGCCATGATTTTCCATTTGTGTAGTGGCCACCACGTGTTCTGAACCTGCTTGAGCTAAATTCAGATTCTGCCAAATTGGGGGTGATCCAAGTGAACAGATTCCAGCACAATCAAATTGGAACCAATTTTCAGGGATTTTGTGGGGGCAGAGCAAGAAGTCTGCAGACCACCCCATAGGACTTGGTTCACTCATCATCTGCTGCCAGCGGAAAAAGAGGCAGAAAACATTTCAAAGGAAACGAATAACCTTTGCTTCTCCCAATTCCCCCAAAGGAGTGGCACAAGAAGTTATATATTTTTAGCATATAAATATGGGAAGCTTCAAGCGTGAAGGTTTCTGTGTAGAGATAAGTCCCCTCTGTGTGTGTGTGTGTGTGTGTGTGTCACAGACTGCCTATGACCCCTGAAATGGCATTGTGACGCCCTAACCCCAAATGTGATGGTGTTGGGAGATGTGACTGTCACGTAATTACAGTCAAAGGAGGCCACGAGGATGGGTCTTGACCCGTTAGGGTTGTTCTTGTGATAAGAGGAAGGGAGACCAGTGCGCCACTGTCTCCACGCACACACACCCGGGAAAGGCCATGTGAGGGTACAGCAAGAGGACCACCTTCCCCAACCCAGATGAGAGCCCTGCCAGGGTCCGGCCGTGCTGGTGCCCTCATCTCAGACGCGGGAGGAAATGAATTTCTGCTCTTTGGAGTCCACAATGTTGTCAAAATGGCAGCCTGATTAGACTGTGTTCGGGAACAGACGCATTGAGGAAAACTTCTAGTGACCAAGGCAGCCTGTGCCTGTCAGCTTTGCGTTGTAAGTCCCGGTAGAGTTTCTTCACTGCTTTTGTTATCCAAGTTGAGAAAACCGGGCACACATCAAACATGGAGACACACAGGTCTCACCCCAAGGCCTCTGCAGGGCCTTCCCCGCACAGCGTCCGCATTCGGCTCCCTCTATGACGTCATTTCTCTGTGTCCTCAGGGTGCTGCCTCCTGAGAGGATCACTGCGGAGCACCATGCGCAGACCCGGAAGTACGATTCACTGCTGAGCAGCCAGCGGCAGGTGGGGGCGGGGGCACCCTCAGAACTCCCAGCAGCCACCGCTGGCGCAGGGTGCGAGGGGAGCAGTTGCAGGACCACGTGGGAGGAGTCGCGTGGTCCGCTCCACAGAGACACAGGAACGATGGACAAGAGAGGAGGAGCAGACAAGGGCAGTGAGGGCTTCTTAGTCCAGAGCAGGCACCACGGGCTGGTGACGGGGCAGGTGTGAGGGGCTCGAGGCAGCCGCACTCGTCGGCTTCCTGACGTGGGAGCTGCTGTGTGCGTATGTCCCCTGGGACACCTGTGGAACTAGATCAGTTGCTGAGTATTTCCGGGACTTTCAAAAACAAGATTCAGAAAATACTGTTGAGCAAGTGCATGTCCAACAGTGCAACCTGAGATGATTTGGAAATTGAAGGAAAACAAAACGTCAAACTACTGATCAAGGAAATGAAGCCATGATGGGAAGAGGAGGAGGAGGAGGGGGAGAGCAGAGATCTGGAGGAGGCCAGCCTGCCACCAAGGACCGGAACAGAACCGGAGCTGACGGTCTCTGACAGGTTTCCAAACCTCACCCTAACTGACACAGCAGGCTAAAGGACAATTTCTTAAAAGCTCATGGACAAAAGTGAGTTTCTCCGTGGGAAGAGCCTCCTTCCGAAGAGTTAAAATTGTATATGTGCGGGTGTAAAAAGTTAAGCTTAAGCTTACAGGTTTAAACCTTCCTAGTGCAGCTGTGAAAATAAGACAGAGTGAAGTAGCACCTTGACAGTAGGGACTCCATTTTGGAGCACTTGAGACTCCATTCTGGGAAAGCACCCCCCCACCGTGAGACTCTGGTCTGAAACTATGATCTCAAATAGTCGGACAATAGCAGTGCACTGCATCACCCTTGGCAGAGCACAAAAATCCCCTAGCATGATTGCTCAAGCTTTAAAGTAGAAAGGTTGCACATGGGTTACCTGGGCTAATAATGAAGATGTGATTTGTCTATGTCTTAAGATCATAATTGCTGATTGTAAGATTTTAGCAACCACTTAGCAACCATGTATTCTAACCCCCCTCCCAATTTTGCGTTTTTTGCCTTTATAAATCCTATACTTTAGCTCCTCGAGGCTCCTCTGTTATTGTATGTTCAGAGAGCCCCAACATGTTGGATCAATAAATCTTTAACCCTTTGCTGGTTTCATGAGAGAAAGTCTCTTGGAGTCGTTCCTCAGGCAGTGGGCATTTTTGGACCCTAAGACTTCTGGTGTTCGACATTGTGCTTGAACCACAGAAAGCTGAAGAGAGAGGAAATGGGAACTCTTAAAAGATCGGGATGCAACCGTTGGAATCTAGGGGACAGATGAGGTGGAACCCATGAGCCTCGGGGACAAAGAGATGTGCAAGGATTCAGGCTGCAGAGCCCTTTGCAATGTCCCTGAGGACTGGAACTCATCAATAACTTCAGTGGGACACAGACTGTAAGATTGGGGAAACTGAATATAAGGAAAAATAGTATTGAAGAAAGAGACTTGCTAAGGGAAACACTGCAAGCCAATGCACCACAGAGCACTGGGAAAGCCTTAGGCCATTGCTGGTGACTATTGAACTGCAGAGACCCATCTCAGGACAGCACAAGTGACTGGATCCAAATGACAAATACGTCAGCCTGAGAAGGGGAGGGGATCATTGTGGGTGGGTTTATGAAGACGCAGAGACAGCCTTGTATTTTACTATACATTAAGGATTGAACCCCCCAAGACTTCCCATCCTCTTGATCAGCTCTATTTTCATAGCTTTTTTATTTTTTATTTTTATTTTTTAAAGATTTATTTACTTGAAGGCCAGCGCTGCGGCTCACTAGGCTAATCCTCTGCCTTGTGGCGCCGGCACATCGGGTTCTAGTCCCAGTCAGGGCGCCGGATTCTGTCCCGATTGCCCCTCTTCCAGGCCAGCTCTCTGCTGTGGCCTGGGAGTGCAGTGGAGGATGGCCCAAGTGCTTGGGCCCTGCACCCCATGGGAGACCAGGAGAAGCACCTGGCTCCTGCCATCGGATCGGCACGGTGAACCGGCTGCAGCGCACCGGCCACGGCGGCCATTGGAGGGTGAATCAATGGCAAAGGAAGACCTTTCTCTCTGTCTCTCTCTCACTATCCACTCTGCCTGTAAAAAAAAAAATTATTAGATTTATTTACTTGAAAGAGTTACACAGAGAGAGAAGGAGAGGCAGAGAGAGAGAGAGAGAGAGAGAGAGGTCTTCCATCTGCTGGTTCACTCTACATATGGCTGCAATGGCCAGAGCTGCACAACCCAAAGCCAGGAGCCAGGAGATTTTTCCAGGCCTCCTACATGGGTGCAGGGGCCCTAGGACTTGGGCCATCTTCTGCTTTCCCAGGCCGTAGCATAGAGCTGGATCAGAAGTGGAGCAGCTGGGACTCGAACCAGTGCCCATATGGGATTGCAGCACTGCAGGTGGCGGCTTTACCTACCATAGCACAATGTCGGCCATAGCTGTTTATATATATATATTTTTTTCCCGCATCACAGACATTCTTTAGGAATCTCATTAGTTCCTGTGTTTTATTGCTTTAGTTCACTGATGCTATCCATCTACATGAGTCTTTCAAATGTATGATTTGAGTATTTTGTTGGTTTTGGATGGATTCTTAGGAACAAAAAGCTAAGGCAAGCACATGTGTTAATTTTGTATTTTCATTTTCATTTTTTTAAAAGATTTATTCTCAGATTTATTTATTTGAAAGAGTTACAGAGAGAGGTAGAGACAGAGAGAGGGGTCATCCATCTGCTGGTTCACTCCCCAGATGGCTACAATGGCCGGAGCTGCACTGATCCAAAGCCAGGAGCCAGGAGCCTCTTCCAGGTCTCCTACATGGATACATTGGCCCAAGGACTATCCCAGGCCATAGCAGAGATCTGAATTGGAAGAGGAGCAGATTGACTTGAACCAGCCCCATATGGGATGCCAGGGCTTCAGGCCAGGGCTTTACCCGCTGCACCACAGTGCTAGCCCCAACTTTGTATTTTCTCATAGCTGAATTAAAAAACACAAAACTAGGCAGCTACAATTAGCTTTAATAATATATAACACTTTATTTTAATCTAATTACAATAACAAATATGTAATAATGTGAAAATTAATTTGTTCATTTTTATCAAAAACATTTAAAAATTTAAATGTATATAAAAACTACTGCATAGCTCAACTCAAACTAGCCCTGTTTCCAGTGTCCCATGGTCACATGATTCATTTCCTCATAAAATCTATGTGCAGACCTCTCTGATAAAGATGTAAGATCAGCCACTGAAAGCTCTCTGAGGAAAGGTCATTTTCATATTTGAAAGGAAGCAGAGTAATTTGGGAATCATTTTGTTATTTTTCATCAGAAAAAAGGGACAGAGTGTCGGGTAGCATGTGGATAAAAATCCACTAATGCTCTCCAATCTTGTATTTTTCTCAGTTCTATAAAGCACAAAAAGGGTCAAAAGGTTATGTAAAAAATAGAAGAAGACAAAGCAAAATACCAGCAAAAGGATAGTGTGGGTGGCTCTGTTTTCTGGAAATTTCTGCCAGGATTGGCTGGAGATGTGGATGTGCCAGGCTCTCCTGTGGTGTCTGTAGAGGAGCCCCACCATGTAGAGGCTGGACCAGATCATCAGTGCCATGAACAGGAGATTGTGAGTCACCATGGAACTTACAAATGGCCCAGGATAGCCCATGTTCATCCTCCTGGTTTGACAGTATGCACTGACATATCCCTGACCAACCATAGTGAAATTCACTTTGGCTCCCATCTCTTTAATGCCATGGATGTAGATCAGCATGTTGATGACCCAGAAGAAAAGGAAAGACGGGAAAATCCAGGTGGTCAGTTTAGACTTCAGCCATGCCCATTTAGAATGACTGGGACTGATAGTGATGGCTTGAAATACACTCAGGAGAGAGGTGGAAAAGACCTCGGGTGACTCTGTATATGTACAAAACAATTTGACAACCAGTATCATCCAAGAAACATTTGACTCCGAATGATGACATGATTTCTGGCATTGAATGGAAAATAATGTTTAAAATATTGGCCATTGTCAGGTGCATGAAAATCCAGTCTGTGGGCTTCTTCAGCTGAGGCTGGATGAGGAAGTTGTAAATATAGATCGTGAAGAGCAGTGAGTTGGCCATGACACTGGTGGACATCTGAGCTATGAGAAAACAGCGATAAATTGTGTCACTTGGAAACATTATCTCGATGATGTTTTCAAAGTTTTAATTAGGTAAGTTTGGCCTCTGTGGAAAAATAAATAGATTGCACTGGGAAATTATAATAAATGGATACCCATTGAAGTATATAATGGCTAGGAACATGGTTTGAGATATGGGTGGAGAAATGTTTAAATCTTCTGTTTCAGATCCAGCCGTGGGACTTCTGGGGACTGCATTCCAGGCATCCTTTGAACTGTGGATTGTAGAGGTAGGTGATAAGAAGAAGGTAGATTTCAATGCTCACATCCTTCATTCTCATTATTGCCACGAAGACTTGTGGGCCTCTATGAATGAAAAGTTTGCATGTGATATTTTCTTCCAAATACTAGAGCTCTTGTTATCTCTAACCTATGTGTATAATCTCACCTTTCTGAAGAATATTCTATTTCTAATTTATATAGTGTGGTATGTGAGTTTGAACATTGCAGACACAATTCTTTGAAATAAGGAACATTTTATTTTAGACCAGTTTTAAATTTAAACATTCAGATATCATGCCACTCAAAATGTAGAGTTGGTGTTGACACATCAGAGTATCGGGAAAGCTACTGCCTGTGCCAAATGCATCAAATATGGCTGCTCATTCATGTCCCAGCTGCTCCACTTCTGATCCAGCTCCCTGATGCTGCACCTAGGAAATAGCAGAAGATGGCTCAAGTGCTTGGGCCCCTATATCCATATGGGAGACCCAGAAAAAGCTGTCTTTCGGCTGGCCCAGCCATGACCATTGTGGCCATTTGTGGAGTGAACCAGCAGATGGAAGCACTCTCTATCTCTGCCTCCACCTCTCCTTCTCTGTAATTTTTTCAAATAAATCTTTTTAAAATGTAATTAAATAATGTTTAAAATACAAAAAGAAATAGCAGTTTTCCAAGTGGGGCCTTTTGCCTCTCTTAATCTAACTCTGGTGTTTGGAGATATATTTGTTCTCAAATGTGATGTAGAGCTCCTGACACTCAGTGGGAGAGGCCAGGATTGGCACTAAATTTCCCACAATGCATGGGACACCATGTAAAACTTTCTCACTCCTAGAGGCAGTCACACCACGATGCATGAACTGAGTCTAACAAAGCATTCCTATGTCTTGCTCCTCCAGCACTTTTGAAATTTTATCTGAAGTTTCTTTTATACATTTGTTATGAAAACTAAACAGTTAGTTTGTAAACACAATGAGACCAGGAATGGTGCAACAGACATTGAGGCTGACATTCAAATAAACAAAGTTCATGCTTCATCTCTATGTATTGGACTATGGAATTTGCTTCTATCATTCTCTCAGAGACTATGCCTTTGTCATGTTAGGCTTCACCTTCCTTCCTACACAGATCCCCAGCGCGCTTTGGGTGTGTTTGTTCTATACTGAGGATGGCCATAGAGTGTCAGAACTCCCTCAGCTCCATTCCCAGGTTCATCACAACTCTCTCTTCTGGTGTCATCCCTACTAGAGCAATGGCATTCCTGTTATCTACACGGAGGAAAGAACCTTCAATTTTTAAGGAACAGGATCATTGCCTCCAAAATACCATTTGTTCTTTCTAGTTGCTTTGTAATTTAGGATTCATTGATTGGAATTGTTTAAAATTCTAATACCTGATATGACTAACAACTGTGGACTATTCTAATTTGTAAAAATGCATCCTGGGGTTGGCACTAGGGGAAAAAGTAAAGACTCTGTTTGGAGGACCACACCCATTTTAGGATGCCTGGTTGCTTTTGCACATCCTGGGAGGCAGTTTTGGCCTCTGAAACCTGAATGGGAAATGAGGATTGAGCTCCTGATGCCTGGCTCCTCCTGACAAAGCCCCTGCTGTTTCAGATACTTGTGGAGTGAAACAGTGGATGAGCTTGCCTGCTCATTCTCTCTCGTCTTTCAAAAAGTAAAAAATAATTAATTAATTAGTTAATTAATTCATGTTTTAAAAGTCAGGGAAGGATGTCTTTGAAGGTGTCCCATCTTTAAAATGTGGGAGGATGGTTTCTGGGTGACTGTTCTGAACAGTCATACTCATCCAGTATCATTGAGAATGATCCATTGCATTCATAACCATCAGCCACAGCAAGGAAAAAGGTACCCTTAACTACTGTTGGTAGTAAACCCACCATGGAAGACAGTATAGATATCTCAGAAACATGAATATAGTCCTACCATATGACCCAGCCATCCCACTCCTGTTAATTTACCCAAGGGCAATGAAATCAGCATATGAAAGAGTTATCAGTACCCCCATGTTTATTGCAGCTCAGTTCACAATAGCAATGACATGGAATCAACCTAAATACCTGTCAAATAAAAACTGGATAAAGAAATTATGGGATATGTACTCCATGGAATACTACACAGCTGTTAAAAAAGAAATTTGGTCATTTGCAACAAAATGAATGAAACTGGAAAACATTTAGTGAAATAAGCCAGTCTCAAAGGGACAAATATATGATCACCCTGACCTGTGATAACAGAACACCTAAGGCCGGCGCCGTGGCTCACTAGGCTAATCCTCTGCCTAGCGGCGCCGGCACACCAGGTTCTAGTCCCAGTTGGGGCACCGGATTCTGTCCCGGTTGCCCCTCTTCCAGGCAAGCTCTCTGCTGTGGCCAGGGAGTGCAGTGGAGGATGGCCCAGGTGCTTGGGCCCTGCACCCCATGGGAGACCAGGAAAAGCACCTGGCTCCTGGCTCCTGCCATCAGATCAGCACAGTGCACCGGCCGCAGCACGCCAGCTGCGGCGGCCATTGGAGGGTGAACCAACAGCAAAGGAAGACCTTTCTCTCTGTCTCTCTCTCTCACTGTCCACTCTGCCTGTTAAAAAAAAACAAAAACAAAAACAAAAACAAAAAAACAGAATACCTAAAAGGCAATCTGTAGAAGAAAAAATGGACACCTTGAGAAGCAATGACTTGAGCAGCCCATACCTTCACTGTTGAGGAACAGTTTTGTTTTATGTATTTTTCATTTTTCTCATTTTCATTCATTTTATCTTATTTTCCTTACCCCTTTTTTCCTTCATACTAATTGGTGAACTCTTTACTTAACATAGTTAACCACATATGTATAAAATTAATTGAATATAGATCTTAGTTAAAAATAAGAGTCAGAATAAAAGAGGGAAATGAAAGTGGGTTGGCAGTGTGAGTGAGATGGTGGGCACAGAGGGAAGAATCACTGTGACCCTAAAGTCGTAATTGTGAAAAGTATGAAGTTTGTACCTGTAAGCTGTATAGTTCTGCATACATTCCTATGGACCTACTTCTAAGGGTACAGGTTAAAAGCTTGCCATGGGACCTTAAATCCCCTTAAGCCCAGTGGTAAAAATACATTCTAAGTGTTAAAGTGAGCCTATGGATAGGATTAAGTGTCAAAGTGATCATATAAGTAGGATAAGTGTTTGGTAATAATAATAGGCAGAATTAAAAAGGAGTAGATGCTCCAACTTGGGAAGCAGTCCATACAGCAGACTCATAGAATGACAATTGCCTTAAGTCACACTCTGTCCTCAGAATCAACCCTTAAGTTATTCTGGTCTGGCTGAAAAGCCCAGGGGAGAATTTCAGGCATGGAAAGCCAAGACACTGGCAAAAATTGATCTGTGCACTAACTTCCTATGTAAGACCTCTATCCTCTAGAAGACATGGTGACTGTCAGGGGAGAGATTTAGAGCTGTTAGTGAAAGGGTACAAGCTTTATTTTAATAAGATAAATTCTCAATATGTAATTTTAATATGCAATGACTATTAATAATGTATTATATAATTAATAATGTGTTGTATAATTGAAATATGATAACATCATAGATCTTATTAACATCTTGTCACCAGAAACACAAAGGTGCTGATGTAAGGTGTAACGGGGGCCAGCGCTGTGGTGTAGTAGGCTAGGCCTCCCCCTGACATCAACATCCCATTTGGGCCCTGGTTTGTATCCCAGCTGCTCCTTTTATGATTCAGCTCTCTGCTTCTACCCTGGGAAGCAGTTGAATATAGTGCAATTGCATGGTCTCCCCTGTGGGACACCCAGAGAAAGTTCCTGGCTCCTTGCTTTAGTTTGGCCAAATTCCAGCCATTTGGGGAGTGAACAGAAAATGGAATACCTTTCTCTCTGTCTCTGCCTCTCTCTATCTGTAAATCTGCATCTCAAATAAATGATTAAATTCTTTAATTAAATACCACTTTCCAAATATGTGCTGTCTGGTACTTTCACAATGTAAATACAGAAGCACACCTAGACCAAAAGTAAGTGAATGGGACCTGATATATGGGGCCAGTGTTAATCTGCAGACACAGTGATTGTCCACATTTATATGAGAGGAACTAAATTCAAGAGGATTACAACGTTTCTGCAAGTAGCACATCCTATAAAGAAGAATGAACAAGAATCAAAATAAAGGAAGATGACACTACAAACTAAGCAACAGAAAACAGGTGCATGCAAAATAACATTGGAAAAATTAACAGGAAACAGATTAGTTTGATAATAATTCCACTTGGCAATAATCAAAGCTGTTAAGTTTGTGAACACAAAACAACAGCAACGCTTAGTGTAAAGACGTGAAAGGATAAGAAGTCCTAGGAGAAGCCACCATTGTAGTAAGAGAGGGAACCAAAGGCTTTCAGAGACTCCAGAACCACCAGAAACCGTGAGTCAGACAATGAGGAAGTTGAGCACGTCAGTTCATTCTCTGCACCCACCGCCTTGCCCAACACAGCAGTCACTGACAAATGCCCAACCTCCATTCTCAACTGTAACATCACCATGTGATCAATGCACCCACAGTCACTGAACCCAGTGAGAACAAAGTGCAAGAGTTGAATGTAACAGAACATGTATCTTAACACAATTATAATCAATTACATCAAGGAAAGGCTATTTTTCATTAACACTGATTTCTCACTATGTTCAAAAGATAAACATATCTTAGGAAGAACAAAGTGAAAAAATCAATATGTATTGTGAAATGCATTTGGAAACATAAACTCAAAATTCAGGTTAATTCTGAAGAATAACAAAGTTAATGAACTTCTAGAAGGAGGGTACCACTTCCTAAAGGGAAGACACCAATCATGCCAGACTTAAGAAAAACCATTTTCACAAAGATTTCCAACAAATGCTTCCATGGTTAGGTACAAAAAAAATCAATAAATTCTTCCTGAAGAGAGAAAAAGAGGATTCTGTTGACACATTATGATTAATAAATAAGGCTGAAGTAATTAACAA